TCTCAAATAAATAACTAAAATCTTTAAAAAAAAAAAAAAAAAAGGTTGAATGATCTAAAACTGACCTTCTAAATTTCCTAATATATCTGTTGTCTGTTAACTTCCAGGCTGTAAGACTAGAAAGTACTTACCAGAATAGAACACGCTATATGGTGGTGGTTTCAACTAATGGTAGACAAGACACTGAAGAAAGCATCGTCCTAGGAATGGATTTCTCTTCTAATGACAGGTATGGTACCAGAAAAGGAAGGATGAGAAAACTCATTTTTAAATAACTATTCCAGTTGCCTTTTGAGTTACTACAAAAACATCTTAACACTATTCTACTCTTAAAGTATCTTAGCCATACAGTCTTGAGAGATGAAAATGATTAGTGAATGTCTTTGGCTGTGTTCCTAATTTATCACTGTTCCTTACCTTCCTCTCATCCTTAAATGGTAATGAATATAAATGATTTAAATGATTTAAATACAAATGATTTAAACTTATATCTCCAGGAATAAAAAGCTGTGTTATCTTTGTAGTTAACTTTATTTTAAGCAGTAATGATTCACTTTGCTGAATCGAGGGGCACAGTATCCTTTGTGATAGTGCACCAGTAGATCTTGGGTTCAGAGAGAGCCCACTTTAACTCTAATCTCTTATATTTATTCATGGCCTTACACCTTGCTTTTACCAAATGTTTTCCTTCCTTTTTCCTTCTTCTGAGTTAAAAGGGCAGGGTGGGAGGGAACTGATTTTTTTTTAACTCAGAACAGAACCTTTTATAATCATACACCTTTGGCTTCAGCAGCACTTTGCATCCTATAATTAAAGGTATCATACCGCACTCAGAACCTGGCTCTTTTGTGTCCCTAAAGTTTATTTCTTTCCTTTTTTATTTTCCCACTTCTTCTGGAGAAACCTTTGGAAGACTGTGGAATGTGGCTAAGCAGATCTTTGCATTCTAGATAATAAGCCTCAGGAAATCCTGCCAGATGTCTCAAAGCATTGACTTCCTGGTTTGAAACTAGAATGGAACTGTGAAGTAGCTAGCAGTGTGACCCAGGCCACACATTTAGCCACAGAAGAAGAGACTAGGAGTGATTCTAATTGTCCTGATGTTGGGAGGAAAAGAATCACATTGTCATTAGAAGGTTTCCCAAACAAGTGTTTACCTAAGCTTGTACAGTCAACCTGAAAATTATTTGTGGTTTCCCAAGGATCCACAAGGCCAGAGTTGTTACCTTATATAATTCTTACAGCCTTTAATTGTATGCGCTGAAATTGCACAGGCTTGTAAACCACATTTAGGTTTTCTCCTGCATGGATTTAACCTCTGGTGTTAGCAAAGCAACAGACCTTTCAGTAAGCATTTATCCTTTAAGAGCACCTACCTTGCCTACATTCATTAGTATTTTAAGACCTCCAATTTAGATTTTTATCTCTTTAGATCTGTGCTGTCCCATACAGTAGCCACTACCACATGGTGACTATTTAAGTAAGTTAAAATTAAACAAAATTTAAATTTCAGTTCCTCAGTCACAGCTAGCCACATTTCAAGTACTCTAGCTATATGTGACTTGTGGCTACCATATTGGACAGTACATATATAGAACATTTCCATCATTGCAGAAAGTTCAACAGTGCTACTCTATATCTTATTTCCTTTGGTTCTTCCTGACTCCTCCCTTGGAAACCCCATAAAACAGGAACTGGGACTGCTTGGAAACTTCACTTGAGCCTTCCCCTAGAGATACAAGGCAACAACTTCAGATTCTCCTGACCCAGTGTGTGAAAAATCAGATGTGTAATCTTATCCTCAGTGAACTGTGTCTATCTTCAGTAATGGTCCTGCCTGAATCTTATCTAACAAATGAAAATTTTATTTAATGGAAGGCAAAAAAGTGATGTGAAAAGCTATAGAAACTAGTTTTCATTCTTTTTTGTAAACTTGGTATTATGAATTCCCATCCATCTTCTGTGAATGAGCTCCTTGGACAGTAAGAAAAGTGCTGCCCACTTCAGAATACTGGCACTCACGTAAACTAGTATCATTTCTACCTCAATTGCTTTTGAAGGAATTTGTATCATTTTGTATCTGAGAATATAAAAAATTAATGTTTCAAAACAATACTAAGCCAAAGTAGAACCCAGATTGTTTATGAGAGACATATCTTCCCAAGTAGTTCTCAAGATATGATTCGCCATCTCATTTAACCTTTTTATAGTATTTTTAAGCATTGTGTTATATTTTAATAATAAAATTTTTAGTATTGTGTTATATCTTAAGTAATAAATTTTTAAATATACAATGTAACCTTGGTATCCAAATTGCATTGAATATATTTCAAATTATAAAATAATAAAGTTTTATGGTGTTGTTTTATAATTTTTCTTTGTACCCCCAACACCTGGAAATGTCTAGTACATATAGGCACTCAATAAATATTTGTTGAATGGGATGAGTATCTACTAAAATAAGCGCCTATACCTGAAAGGAGAAAAATCTCATGAAACTCAAGGTAAATTAGATAAAAATACTAGGTGTGCCTAATTCAGGCCTCTCTTTCCTATTGTGTGAAAAAGCTACTTAACGTAAAGAAGCAGCCTGACCTGAGTATAAGCTGAAAATGTGATATTTGGTTCCTATATATCACTGTCACTTGTCCAAAGTTTAACTGGTATCTCATCACAAGCTCACAGATCACACTCTTTTGGATCTTCCGTATCATCTTCTGTAGTTACTTAATTTCAAGATTTGTCACCAGGCTATAAACCCTTCATATTTATACCCAAACTATACTTGTTGCTAGGAACCTGGCTAAGCATTCATTTTAAAAAGAAAGAGAGAGAGAGAGAAAGAAAGAAAAGAAAAGAAAAAAGAAGTAAAGGAACTACTCTGAAAATAACCCCACTCCATCTTGGGAAGCCATCTTCGAAACAAGTTTTCCTTGTTCTCACCTCATCTACTCAACAAAAATAGTGGTGGAGCTCTCTTCCTCCCTCTTGGATTCTTGCATATAGCTCTGCATCTGGAATTCAGGCCCAGCCTTCCAATGTGGATAAGCTGTTGCAATCTTGATTTGATTCTCGTGAATTCTGGAATCACTAGTAGAGCACACAGTGCTCGGTGTTGAGTAACACAGGCCAGCAAGTACAGTGCAAAGCACTAGACACAGCCCACCTGGGGAACGGTCTTCATTAGCCCTGCAGTGACTCCGATAGCAAAAGCTTGGTATTCCTCATGTTGTTTTCAGTGCATTTTCATGATGTCCCTCCCCCTCCTCACACCCCCAGTCACTTTCAGTTGTATTAGAGCACTCACTAAAAATTCATATTCAACATTTGTTTTAAGTGACAATACATTCATATGTATGTATTGTTTCACTTTAAAATATTTATGATAAAATCGGAGGGGTAGACGAACCATGAGAGACGATGGACTCTGAAAAACAAACTGAGGGTTCTAGAGGGGAGTGGGGTGGGAGGATGGGTTAGCCT